CTTACAGCATCAGGACCATTGTTACAACTGAGCAGTACATTGATCTGATGCGATATCTTTGTGACTTTCTGAGGGCAAAATTAATTTTAATTTGGATTGAAAGTATTTATTTATTACTGCTGTAAGGGATCACAAAAATGTTTCTTACTACAATTTGCATATTTTGAAAATATTGATCAATTAATTTTGTTCCTCAAAAACGTGCCTCCATCTGCGATTGTAGATCTTTACCATCATTAAATTTTTAACAGGTCAATACTAAAACGGTGAGCAGGAATATGTATTAAGCTGTGGATTTTATTGTTTACAAGCATGTGGGCATAGCTGAGTGAGTTCAGTGTTTGACATGCAGTAATTTTAGATTTTACCACCAGGGGGCAGCATTTTATCAGTCGGTGTGTTACGATGTTTTCAGATTTTTGCTGCTGTTTAAGATGTTTAAGTCTTTTTTAGCAAACCCAGTTTCCTTAAGAGAATTTGAAAGTGTTCCTGATTACTTGCCAGGTTTTAAAAAAATAAAATTAAAATAACATCAACAAATTATTCTGTTTATAGATTTGGTTAGGTTTGGAAGATTAAAAACTCTTTTTTTTAAATAAAAGAATTTACAGAAAGTACCTTTAAGTCAAAGTTGTTCAAATGAAGAAGAGTTAGTCTGATCAATTTTGCTTGAAAATGAAAATGTGATGTTTAGTTTCCCACACCTCTGAAATGACATCAACCTCTGCCATAAATTAACATCACAGCCTCTTCCTTGCTTCTTGCAGATGTGGTTTCTGCTACATGGAGGTGGATCATGTCCCAGCAGGCATCTATAACGTCACCCCCACCACTTTCCTGCCTAAACAGGAAGGACCCTTCTTTTTGGACTTCAGCAGTACTTCAACCCTGAAGGTCTCCCAGCTCCAATGAAGATGGAGCTGGGATTGGGAGGAAGGTACTTGGTGGCATTGTGGAATATATTTCTGAAACCGCATTTTGGAAGTGCCAAGGCCTCCACAAAGCCCAGAATGTGACTGCTGCTAGCATTTTCTCTTCTTTCACTGAGACTTTTGCTGATGTGGACTTGAATTTCAAAACTGACTCAAGGATACCACAAAGCTGTTCTGGAGATATAATCAAGAGGCACTTTGATATGGACTAAAACACATAACCATCAAGGCATCTTGGGACAAAAACATCTCTGCCAAATTAGAAAACAGCCCATTACAAGCCTCACAAAGTAATGGTGTTAAGAGCAGTAACTCATTTTGCCCTAATAAGGCACACAGTTCCTCAAATAGAATAATAAGTATCAACATTTTTGTTCTTATTGTAGACAAATCAGTGATTTCATGGAACAATAATGATCATACATCACATCTGGGATTCATCGGGATGTGGAGCAGTAACGGCGTTGAAGCTGCAGAATTAGTGACATCGCTACTTAAACACAGCAGATTTTTCTACTTCTTCACAGGATCTGTTTTGCTGCGGGGAACGCCTCAGCACTAAAGAGCTACAGCCTTGTGGTTTCGAATCACAGGTTTAATTTTAAGACAAGGATGATGTATTTAAGATATGACGGTACTTTTGGATTGTAGCTGAGTGCATTCAGCCTAAAATGTGACCAGCAGCAAGCCAACCAGTGTTGAACTATACACATAAGTAAATGAAATGATGAAGCTGAAATTCAAAATTAATTAAAAGACCAGGGGGGAAAAAAAACACACAACTCTAATGAGAAAAGTTGTCCAAGGGTTTCATGTTTGAGGTGCTCATTACTTCAAAGCTTCAAAGACACTGACAACCACAATTAAAAAAAAAACACAACATGCTGTTTCTGAGAAGTAATTAAATCACTTTCAGAGTATATCGAAATCTTATCTGTTGTGACATTCACTTCTTCTAGCAATTAAATAAGCTGCCAAAAAAGCTGTTTAAAAAAACAGTTAACATGTCAGGTGGAAGGGGCAGTTAGTTTCTTTGAACCACCAACAAAATATTTATTTTAATTCTCAGGAGCAGGGCAGCATCACAGGGAATCCAGTATGGCAGCAGTCGAATGATGTCTCTACATGTTGTCTGTGGATGTGATGGCTGAGTGAGAAACAGCCTGATTTCACTGACAGGCTTCACGTTGAGTTTGTTATACCTGAGCGTGCGTATGTGGGTGCGTGTAGATGTCCGATCGTCACTGTTCCAAACTTAAATGTCTTGCCAAGTACCCATAATATGTTTACCTTTTGTTTTGTCGATGCACTGCACTTTAAACTCTTTTTCATCGTGTTTACTCTTTGGTTCATCGGTGCAAACAGCAGCTCAACCTAAGTCACCGTGTTTCCTCAGTTTATCGTGTAGAAAGTTTCTTTTGGGTGATGTCAGCTATCAGCAGTCGGTCATGTACAGATGCTGCTGCTATATTCGTTGCTGCTCATCTCTGCCAAGCTTTACAGTTGCATCACAAATCCCTGGGCAACAATATGTGTTGCAATCATAGAGGTACATGATTGTTTTAGATTTGGATTTGGGCTAGAGACGCTGAAATACCAATGCTGAAATTAACATGAGGAACATGTTGCATCATGTGGAAGCAGCCAGCCAATGTTACGCTCATTAACTGTACTGTATCCTTAGAGACATTTGAATGGAAAAACATTGAGTCAACTCACCGAAGGACTTTTGATCTCACAAGAAGAAAGGTTCAGTGCTTTTCTCATTGCATTGCAACTTGCAGACTCAAAATCTACAGGCCATTTTTTTCTGGAGTTTTCAGCATCAAAGTTTATGCTTCACCTTGGGAACATTGTTTGAAAAATGATATGGTCAGCTTACTATATGGTTTTTGTTTGTTTGTTTGTTTGTTTTTTTAGCTTTTAATTGCATCAGAGTTTAACTAAAAGTGAAGGAGTTCAGTCAGTTGTCACAGCTGATTGTAGTTGTTTGTGGACCTAAGAACCATCTCTGTGATATTCAAGCACTTACTGTAAAGAAAAGCTCCTGAAAAAACAGCTCAAGTAATGAAAACTTTGTTCAGTCCATCCGTCCATTTTTTTTATTTTTCTGTTTTGGTTTTGTTTTTATGCTGGAGCTTATCCCAGCTGCTATAGGGTAAAATTCAGGGTACACCACGGACAGGTCGTCAGGTTGTTGCAGGGCTAGTGCAACTAGACAGACAACCATTCATACTCAATTCACACCTGCAGCCAATTTACATTCAGAGCAAACACTTGGAAAATAATTATTAAACTTAATTTTAATTTTAACTTTAATATGATTCACTTTACAAATGTGTATTGTGGGCCATTATACTTGTCATTTTTGCCCTTGTGAATGGATATTAGGACACTGATGTCAGATCCACTGCCACAAGCCATGCTAATGTCATTTTGCATGGTCATGCACCATCCAGTTTCTGTAACCTCACAAGTGTTTCTGTTCCCTCAAAAATGCCACAAAGCAAATATAAATGTCACCGTCAGTGCACGAAGCAACCATTGCTGGGTGTATAATGGGCCCTGTAGTGCCATGGCTGCATGCTGAAGAAGTCTGTGTTCAATGAGAACAATGCACAGCTGTAAACCCCTGCGTGAGCCACCCTCAGTCTGCGCACAGCTGTTTCTTCTGTGATTAATGATTTCACCAATTTAATTTGAATTGTTCATAAAATGAAGGGGAGAAATCCAAAACATACAGTTTACAGTGGTGTAAAACACTGAAAAAGAGTTAATCATCACTTAAATAAACATATGTAGAGGCATTTTTGCACAAATAATTAAGTGATTTTCAAAATAGTTGCTGATGGATTTTCTGTTGTTTAACACGCCACGCGATGCTGTGCTGTGCGCTTCTTGTTCACAACATTACAGAAGCCTCTTCGCAATAAATCAGATAAAACTGCTTATCTTATTTTTGACTTGGCTTTTTGATCAATTTATTTTGAATATTTTAATTTCTTATGTGAATCGTGTACATCTTGTCTGTGTACCATTATTCTTTTGCAATGGAAAAAGCACGTGTGCAGTGGAGGCGGACTGTAAATGAATTAGTAATGTTGGTGTGTAAAAAG